ATCCTTCCCATCATTGCTTACAATGTATTTATTTTAAATATTGAGTTGCAGGATCCTGATGCTTTTATTCACTGTATTCAGCAAGAAAAGCCTTAGTGTGCGTATGGTAGGAATTCCTAGCACAGACAGCTGGAGTAGCAAGTCTCTGCACTGTTGTAGTCAGTCTGAGGGTATTGTAAAGGTATGTGATAGTTCTGCTTCATTATTACTGTTTATTTAGTTATTTAAATGGAACAGGAGGCCAGAATGACTTGTGGCCAAATACCTGCTGAAGTAACTTATTTCATAGCATAGAACCCCAGGCTGGGAAGGACCTTACCTGCTGTAATCTCTAGAGGCAAAGCATGTTCTAGACTAGATGTCCTAATACCCTGTCCTAGATGGATCTTAACAGTGTCCAATGCTGGGAAATCCCTAGGGAGATGATTCCAGTGGCTGATTGTTCTCATCAAGCTGTGGCTGCCCCATCCCTGGCAGTGTTCAAGGCCAGGTTGGACACAGGGGCTTGGAGCAAGCTGCTCTAGTGGAAGCAGCAGGTCGAAGGAGGTGATCCTGCCCCTTTACTCTGCCCTTGTGAGACCTCACCTGGAGCACTGTGTGCAGTTCTGGTGTCCTCAACATAAAAAGGACATGGAACTGTTGGAACAAGTCTAGAGGAAGCCACGGGGATGATCAGGGAACTGGAGCACCTCCTGTATGAAGACAGGCTGAGGAAGTTGGGGCTGTTCAGCCTGGAGAAGAGAAGCTGCGTGGAGACCTCAGAGCAGCTTCCAGTGTCTGAAGGGGGCCTATAGGGATGCTGGGGAGGGACTCTTCATCAGGGACTGTAGTGACAGCACAAGGGGTAATGGGTTAAAACTGAAACAGGGGAAGTTTAGATTGGATCTAAGGAGGAAATTCTTTCCTGTTAGGGTGGTGAGGCACTGGAATGGGTTGCCCAGGGAGGTTGTGAATGCTCCATCCCTGGCAGTGTTCAAGACCAGGTTGCATGAGGCCTTGGGTGAGATGCTTTAGTGTGAGGTGTCCCTGCCCACGGCAGGGGGGTTGGAACTGGATGATCTTAAGGTCCTTTCCAACCCAAACTGTTCTATGATTCTGTGATTCTAAGGTGTCCCTGCCATGGCAGGGAATTGGAACTGGAGGAGCTTTAAGGTCCCTTCCAACCCAAACCATTCCATGATTCTGTGATATTCTATGAGGATCTGTAGCAGAAGAGCTCATATTTATTTCTTGTTAAGCCACCAGTGACTGGAATTGCTAGCTGTGCAGGCTCTTGGGTGCAGCAGGGTGGCCTTCTCTGGCATTGAGCTTTGCTCCTATGTCCTTTTTATTTCCTACCACTTTATTCTGTGCTCCATTTCTCCTTTGTATCTTGGTTAACAAGATCTAATTTTAAGTTTTAGCCTCAGGATTTTCTACTTATTAATTTCCTTTCTGTGGCTTGTGTACATCCATTTCTTCACTTGATATTTCTGCTTGCTTATCAGAATGTAACCTTGGCCAGGCTGGGGAGTAATGAAATGAGTTATTTTTGTTAAATACAGCTGGTAAGCACAGGCAGATAGAACCCAATTCAAAGAATCCCAGGGGAAGACCTTGTAATCCTGCTTTCCCTTCATTTTTTTCCAGCCCCCTCATAAGTTTGTTGTTGGGATTTACTGCTAAAGCTACAGCAGTAACAGGATACCGAAAAAAGAAGGTTCCAAATAGAACGTGAACTAACTTTGCTTTGTTATTTCGAGCTCCTGCACCATCTTGTGACTAATTTAAATGAGTATAAATTGATTAATCCCCACATTTACATTGTAAAATAGAGAACGTAATGTATGCAAGTGCCTTTGGAAACTAAAATATGAAATATTGGTATATTATGCAGATTTAATGGCATTGTTTTCATATTTCATTATCCTTTGAGCTGCTTCAAGTACTGCTGCGTATGACCAGTAGTGAACAGTTCATAGAGATTTGTCCTTGGAGGTGTGTTTTGTGTTTGCACTGACTCCATGGTGGCAGGAAGTGCCTCTAAGTGTGAATTTCAATGCGAGAGTTGCTATGTGTGATGGTAGTTGAATTTTTATGAGTCTGAAATTAGAGTTTATTCTTCTGAAAATAATAATTATATTTGAAGAACCTACGCAGTTTAAATGGTGACCCTGCCTTGATCTGTGGCTCATAATAAATATGGTAAATGAAGACTTTTCTCTCAGCTTGTCTTTATAGAACTGGGCTTGTTCAGCCTGGAGAAGAGAAGGCTCTAGGGAGGCCTTAGAGCAGCTCCCAGTGGCTAAAGGGGCTGCAAGAAACCTGGAGAGGGGCTTTGGACAAGGGCCTGCAGGGCCAGGCCAAGGGGAATGGCTTTAACCTGCCAGAGGGGAGACTGAGATGAGCTCTTAGGCAGAAGCTCTTCCCTGTGAGGGTGCTGAGGCGCTGGCACAGGGTGCCCAGAGAAGCTGTGGCTGCCCCATCCCTGGCAGTGTTCAAGGCCAGGTTGGACACAGGGGCTTGGAGCAAGCTGCTCTAGTGGAAGGTGTCCCTGCCTGTGGCAGGGGGTTGGAACTGAATGAACGTTAAGGTCCCTTCCAACTCAAACCATTACATGATATGTGTAATAAAGTCACTCATGACAGTGACTGTTCTGGCACATGTAGACACTTGTTGCTGATAGTTCAGTTGTACATACACCAGTGAACTTCCTTTGAGTTTCCAGGGGGTTCCTCTGCTCTTGAGAGAGGCAGGGAAAGAAACAGGTACTTTGGTCTATAAAATCCAGGAATAAGTTAATTGCTTTATCTTTATTGTGGTGGGATGAAGGCATGGTTTGTTATTTTTTCCATTGAGTGCAAAGGCTAATTTGGACTTTTCTGAGGGTTGAAGACCAGATACAACAGTTTGAAAATCATTACGTTCTATTTTACTCTTGTATGCCAGGAATACTGATGTACAGTCGCAGCACTTCCTTGTTTCCTTTTCTGTGCTGCTACCTGCAAATCAGGCTCTTTGAAAAATAAGAATGAAGGAAGGAAGAGTATATTTAATGGTGTCATTGATGCACCACCTCATTTCAGCACACTAAATACATTTGCTGTGGTTTTAATCCACATTGAAATCAGTTTGATTTCAGAACTGGAAGTCTTCTGTTTTCTTTTGTGTGCAGGGAATATTTATATGGCTTTCTTAAAAGCTTGTGTTTTAGGTGTCCAGGATAAGAGTTCCTTGCCACTGTTACTGGTACCCAAAGCTAACTGAAGTCCTTGATTCTCCCAGTGAATTTTGTGCTCCTAAAAGTGACCTGATTGACAGCTCTGAGCTGGAGCTTTGAGTCCACACAGGTAGCATGGGTAGATGCAGATGGACTCTCTTGCATTGATTTACCAGGGCATGTTAACCTACACCACAAGCAACCTATTTCAGGGGCGAAAGAAGTTTTGTTGCCATGGTCAGCTACTTGAGATAACTTAGAGACAACATTTTCTTGTTGTTTAATGGAATAAGAAAAAAAGTATATACTTATTTTCCTGGTCTAGAGGGAATTATTGTATGGTACTATTTAGTTGGCTACTTTCTAAATGAAGATTAATGAATTTGATATTTTGTCTCTTCTCTGCTGTTCAACTTAAATGACCACTGATGCTGATGGGTTTTGTGTGATATATGGCCCAAACTGGAGTGGTTATTAACTAGAATGAGTAAACTGAGGGTATTTGTATGTTATGCATTTTAAATTGCAGTGTGGGTGGTCAGAGCGTGTTAACTGTGGAAAGACCCAGAATGTGTTCATGAGCGCATGGCTTGATGCTGTGGAGGTACCAGGTTGCTGACACATGCTTCCTGATTCAATATTTATGACTGTTAATGTGCAGTTTGGAATTTCCTTGGGACATCTTCATTAACTTTAACGTCTCCAAAGCTGCAGTTGCCCTGCTGGCTTCTGAGGCAGATGATGGGTTTGGAGACAGCCCGAAGGTACGTTGTCCCAAGTGAGCTGGTTAATGTTCATACTTAATGTGCAAAGGGACAGGAGAGATGCTTGGTTGTATCAGATCGATGGTTTGAATGCGCTGATGCTCTGTTGTCAATACCAGATGCTACAGAGGTGAATGCAAGGAATTCTGCATTAAATAATTAGGAAGTAGTTTTTCCAGCAAGAAGGAAATGTTCATCTTCAGTTCTGGGTCCCTCATTACAAGAGAGACATTGAGGTGGTGGAGCGGGGCCAGAGAAGGGCAGTGGAGCTGGTGCAGGGCCTGGAGCACAAGTGTGATGGGGAAGGGCTGAGGGACCTGGGGGGTTCAGTGTGGAGAAGAGAAGGCTCAGGGGGGACCTGATGGCTCCCTACAACTGCCTAAAGGAGGATGGAGCCAGGAGGGGCTGGGCTCTGCTCCCAAGGAACAAGGGATGGGACAAGAGGAAACGGCCTCAAGCTGCACCAGGGCAGGTTTAGATGGAGCTGAGGAACAATTCCTGCCCCAGAGGGTGCTCAGGCATTGGAACAGGCTGCCCAGGGCAGGGCTGCAGTCACCGTCCCTGCAAGTGTTCACACAGCGTGGAGACGAGGCCTCAGTGCCATGGGGCAGTGGTGGCCTTGGCAGTGCTGGGAATGGTTGGACTGGATGAGCTTAAAGGGCTTTTCCAACCCTGTTGATTGTGTGTTTCTGGCATTACCTAGTACATAGCTTGAAACTGTGCTAAGTAATGTAGGCTGTTGGTGATCTTTTGTGTTCTATCCCACATGCTCTTGATCTTGCTGTTCTTGACTTCAGGGAAGGTTTTGTCACTAGATTGTCCCCTGTGTGTGTCAAATACTGGAAAAAAAAAAAGAGTGTTAAAAGCTGCACTCTCAGCTTGGTTGTGAGCTTCCGTAAGTGTGTGATGCAAAATTGAGTGGAAGCCCAAGGCTGCCTATATTATGTTTTGTTCTGTACCTTCTCTCCTGTGTTGAGCCATTTCAGGGTTTCTTTCCAGTATTCCTGTGTGGTTTATAGAATCATTGAATAGTTAGGGTTGGAAAGGACCTTAAGATCATCTAGTTCCAACCCCCTGCCATGGGCAGGGACACCTCACACTAAACCATCTCACCCAAGGCTTCATCTAGCCTGATTGTGAACACTGCCAGGGACTTTCCTTCATGTTTCCCAAAGGGAGAGTTGTGTGGTAGTGGACATTCACCAGTTGCCTTCTGATAACTTCTAAGTTTATGCATCTGTCTCAGCCAAACCTAAGGGAGGGCTGAAAGACTCAAGGCCCTGACGTTTCTAGAGGTTTGGATAAAACAAAGGGAGGTAGAAAAGAGGTAGTAAGATTAAAGCCTTTATGGACACAAGGTCTAAAGCTGCCTGGGCTCTTCTGCTGAAGGCTTATCACCCTGCACATAGAATTATAGAATGGTGTGGGTTGGAAAGGGCCTCAAGATCCTCCAGTTCCCAACCACTGCCATGGGCAGGAGTGCCTCACTGCAGACCGTGTTGCCCAGGGCTCTGTCCAGCCTGGCCTTGAGCACTGCCAGGGATGGAGCATTTATCACTTCTTTGGGCAGGCTGTTCTGGCAAAGCAACTGCAGCCTGTGCTGTGCATTGCCAAGCCAGGAGGCAGGAGAGATGAAGTTTGGACACTGGAGAGGTGCTCAGGGAAGACGTAGGGATAAGAGAGATACGCTTGACTTAAAGTGAGTGGTCAGAGAAACATGCAATGGGGATCTGTGAGGAGCCAGCTGAGCTTAGTGCTTCTAATGCAGAAACCCAGACTGACACCTCTCCCTTTTCTCTGTGCTTTGTTTTAAAGACTACATTTTTCTTTCCCATTTGCTTTAAAAGAAAGAAGATGTTAACATAAGCTATGGGACAAAACAGTTTGGAGAACTTTTCAAAGTGATCATTGTGTTAAGTCATAAGTTTTGGTGGAAATGAAAAAGATCCCAGGAAAGCTTATCCTTGGCTTTGTGTGGAAAGCCTGATAAAACACTGTGCTTGAAGTGTGGAGGTGCATCATTTTATATCGATTTTCATATTCTTTCTCTCTCACTCTTTATGTATTTTATACTTAATGTTGGACCTTCTCTTTTCCTTTCTCCTTTCTTCCTTCTCATGCCAGGCTGGCCATTAAACAAACGTTCTTTGTGCAGTGCTCAGGACTTACATGTGATTATGGTTGATTTAAAAACCAAGTAGTGTGTAAGATAAAATCACAGTCCGCTTTCCAGTACGTGTGGCTATTCATTTGTCAGCACTGAATTTGTATACCATTGTGCTGCTCAGCTTGTCTGGCCTTATTTTCTCCCTTTTTGAGTCTTCCAGTCTTGATTAAAATGATTTTAGACTATTCATGTGCAAAGTTTAGTCTCAGTTTAGCTATCCCATTTCTAATGCTTTCTGTCCTCTGTTTTGTCTCCGCCTGTTTTTAATCCACGATAGGAATTTACCACTCGTTTTAGAACTACCCTTTCCTAACAGCCTGTACTCAGTGGCAATGAAAGAGATAAACCAAATTGCAAATGTATCTTCTTCGTTTTTTCTCTTGTTGATGCATTCAGGCACTTAGTTGAAGACTGTGCAGTTGGTTTTGTGCGTCTCATCCCTGTGTTAGTCCTCTGGGTTGCATCCAAGCCGTGTACTTGGTTGTCATCGTACAATCCCAGACTGGTTTGTGTTGCTAGGGACCTTAAAGCTCATCCAGTCCCAACCCCCTGCCAGGGGCAGGGACACCTTCCACTAGAGCAGCTTGCTCCAAGCCCCTGTGTCCAACCTGGCCTTGAACACTGCCAGGGATGGGGCAGCCACAGCTTCTCTGGGCACCCTGTGCCAGCGCCTCAGCACCCTCACAGGGAAGAGCTTCTGCCTAAGAGCTCATCTCAATCTCCCCTCTGCCAGGTTAAAGCCATTCCCCTTGGTCTGTCCCTACAGGTCCTTGTCCAAAGCCCCTCTCCAGGTTTCTTACAGTCCCCATGACCTTCCTTATGATGTGTTTATTTGAAAGCAGAAGTAGCCAGTGCAGGCTCACAGCACTGCAGAGATCCTTGGGTCAAGGAGTGATCTTCTGAAACTTGAGAGGCTGATGGACCTAGAGCTGTTAGTCTTGGAAGTACCCTTCCAGCAGGAAGACAAACAAGAGGCATCCACTGAACCAAGGGTGCTTTTAACCTGTAAGGGGAAGCTTTTTCACCACCAGGTCCATCAGTTGACACACATTGCCTGGAGGGCTTTTGCTGCATCTATCCGCGGAGGTGTTTTTTGTGACAATAAAGTTTTCTCTCTTTAAGGAGGATGTTTGAGTGGCCTGGAGGCCTTATCTGTGGATGCTGGTGTGGCCTCTGAGAAGCTGCTCTTTGAAAGATGTCCTGTTCACTGGACATTTTCAATAGCAAAGCTGGATGAAAAGGAAAAGGAGAAATGGTTTAGTCTCCTTTTTCCCTTTTTGTAAATGAATTTGCTGACCATTTAGCAAAGTAATTTCTAAAAGATGCTTGACTGTATCTTAACTGAAGTGTCTCTTCATTAACAGCTTAATGCACCTGCCCTTTTGAGAAGAGTTAGTGAAGGTGCCTGCTAATACATGCAGTTTCCATTAATGATTTTTGAGTATGTGATACTAATGGGCAGGTTCCAGCTCTGCAGGTTAGAGGCTGCTTGATGAACTTGTCCATGTTGTATTCCTGATTCCTCAGAGTAACCTTTTTGAGGCTGCAGGTGTCTCCTTTACCTAACAAGTGTTGATAAAGCTTTGGGTGCCACCTTCTTGCTGTAATCTTAGTGTCATGCTGAATGTTTCTATACAGCAACTGTTTTAGAGTGGGAGGAAGAAGGACTGGAGCAGCTCTGCTCTGGAGCCAGGCTGAGAGAGCTGGGCTGGTTCAGCCTGGAGAAGAGAAGGCTCCTGAAGGGGAGACCTTAGAGCAGCTCCAGTGCCTAAAGGGGCTGCAGGAAAGCTGGAGAGGGGCTTTGGACAAGGGCCTGTAGGGAGAGGCCAAGGGGAATGGCTTTAACCTGCCCGAGGGGAGACTGAGCTGAGCTCTTAGGCAGAAGTTCTTCCCTGTGAGGGTGCTGAGGCGCTGGCACAGGGTGCCCAGAGAAGCTGTGGCTGCCCCATCCCTGGCAGTGTTCAAGGCCAGGTTGGACCAGGGGCTTGGAGCAAGCTGCTCTAGTGGAAGGTGTCCCTGCCTGTGGCAGGGGTTGGAGCTGGAGGAGCTTTAAGGTACCTTCCAACACAAACCAGTCTGGGATTTTATGAAATGCATCATGAATTTATACTGTAATATTAGATGTCAATGACTATCTTGTAAACTTCTCCAGAGGAGTAGGTGGACAAATAAGAAATGTCAGGTTATTGCATCCCAGAGGCCATCAAAATGGCCAAGTGTCCTTATCTGTTGATCCTCACTGCTTGGTCTCTGAAGATCCAGACAGGAGCTTCATGGGTTTTACCACGTAGTGGTATTCTGTGTCTGCAGTGGTGTTACATGGAACTTTGTCACTCTTCAGCATTCTACAACCTGCTGCTAGGTCTGAGCATGGTAATGAGCCCTCTGCCCCTGCAGCTCGTGGTACTCCACTGCCATTACCCTGAGGAGAATACTGCTCATCAGACACCTATCAGCATCCACCCTTCACATGCTAAGAGGGCAGAGAAGAGCTATTTCTGGCTATAACACTGTGGCATTTTAAGCATAGTTCCTATTATAGATCATCTATCTGGATTGTCTTGTGATTGGAATGCTGGAGCTGCATTCATTTTGGCTCTTGGTGGAACATTAAGAGAGCACTGGGATGCAAGTGTGACCTTCCTAAATGGAATTACTTGAAAAACTTCCTGATGTGTCAGCTCTGGGATGCATTTACTATGAAGCTGACACTGATTTCAGTATCCTCAAGAACTTAAAATACTCAAGTGTGTGGTGGTGGGAATGGCTATCTAATTTTTGGCAACTGCTCTATACTTATGTATGAGTCATGCTTATTCTGGCAGTGTTGCAGCCACTGGGTTCTAATATTGCAGTAGTTTAATGGTCAGCTGCCTGGTTTAATCTATAGTCTGAGCAGAGATTGCCAACAGAGAGAAATCTTACTGCTTTTATTTAAAACCAGTTCCTTTTTCTGATCCTCTTTCTAATAAATGAGCTTTTCTCATTTTAAATGCTGCTTCTTCCCTCGGAACAAACCCCTCCTACTTGTAGAACTGCAATTTTTCACTGAAACATCATAAAGCTCCCATTTGCCAGCTACCCAATGATATCTTACAATACTGCTGGTGAATGATCTATAGCTCTGCTTTTATTCCCTATTAGTATTTGCCTGATCGATGGCTAACCTGATTGATTAAGGTCAAGTGTCTTTATTGGCTGATGCCTGACTCTTCTCATTATGACTCAAAACGTTTTATGGTCTGTTAGGCTTCTTGTACTCATTTTTGCACAGCAGAAAGATGAACTTCGTGATGTCGATGCCGTGAGCAATGCACTTATGCAAGTTTTGGTACTCCAAGGTCCAGTATTAAAAGACATGAAATATTATAGAATCCCAGACTGTTTCGGGTTGGAAGGGACCTTAAGGTTCATCCAGTTCCAACCCCCTGCCACGAGCAGGGACACCTTCCACTAGAGCAGCTTGCTCCAAGCCCCTGTGTCCAACCTGGCCTTGAACACTGCCAGGAATGGGGCAGCCACAGCTTCTCTGGGCACCCTGTGCCAGCGCCTCAGCACCCTCGCAGTAAAGAACTTCTTCCCTACATCTAACCTGAACTTCCCGTTTCGGTTTAAATCCATTACTTCTTGTCCTATCACCACAATCCCTTATTGAGGTATTTGGGTTGAGCTGCAGTAAGAAACACTTGATCTCAGGCTTTCAGATTGTTCTGTGAATAAGCTAACTGTGATATTGAATCAGTTCTTTGCTTTTATGACAGCTTAATCATTTCTGAGTGTACAAATATAGAACCTTAAAACTTCGGCTTGTGATGCTTACTGAGGTATGGGCAGATGAATACTTGCTGTAGTACAGAAACAGGATCCATGTGATAGCCTGTTGTTTTGCTCACCTTTTTTCTGCTCTGATGATACCATTTGAACTG